GAGCTTCAGAGACCTGTCAAGGTTAGAGTGACACCTCATCATGTGAATGAATTCAAAAACTTTCACAGTATTTGTGATTATATGTAATCATTTAGCAGATGCTAGTATCCAAAGCAACTTCAAAATTCTAAAACATCAAAAGCTATTTGTGATATGACCCCATAATATTCCCAGTGGCACAGAAGCCAACTTTCAAGAGGAAGCTAGAGTGGAAATATTTTAAAAGAACTGAAAAATGTAGTTTTTGTTTTGTTTGTTTTTAATAAATAAAGTTTAATATAGCAAGTCTTATGTTATGGTTTATGGTAATCTATTGTAAAATGGCTACCCAACATAAAAATGTTTGCTTTTTGTTTCTCTCAGGTGCCGATAGTCATCCCTGTTTTGGTGGTGATTGTGTCCTGTTATCTGCTTCTTGCTCCCATCATAGACAAGCCTGAGTGGGAGTACCTGTACTGCACAGTGTTCATAGTCGGTGGTCTTCTCTTATATGTACCCTTCATTTACTACAAATTCAACTGGACTCGCCGCATCATGAGTAAGTAAAAATTTTAAAAATTAAAAAAAAAAAAGTATGCATTTAGCAGACACTTTTATCCAAAGCGACTAACAGTGCATTCAGGCTATACATTTTTTACCAGTATGTGTGTTCCCTGGGAATTGAACCCACGACCTTTGCTCTGCTAACACAATGCTCTACCACTGAGCCACAGGAACATATTAGTAGCTGGAAATTACACATCTGGATATATTTCAGTGAGCAAAACCTATGTTTGTTTTGATCCTTAATAAATTTTAAGTAAGGTGACCAGATTTATGAAATGAAACTTGGGACATTGCCTAGTTCAGTGGTCAAAATATCATTGAAATCTCAATTTTTATCTATGAATTAAAAAACAGGAACGATACATTTTTGTATGTTCTTAATTGTTGTGGGTTCCATATACTATGATAATTAATAGTTTTTCTAATGTTTGTGAGTCAAACTGAACACAACTGGTTTAAATACAATTCACCAAAAATCACACAATGAAAAATAGTAAATAATAGTAAACATTGCAGTTAGCAAACCGATCAAAACAGTATTATAATGAAACAATTATGACTTTACACATCACAAAAACATAAATATGAGAACATAAACAAAACTGTATATAATAAATATTTTAACATTTTCTAAATTGATTTAATATTTTCATTTTCACCAAATGTGAATAGGTTCATTCTGTATACAGTAATTAAAATTTTTTAAACTCTCTACTATCTACTATCCTAGTCCCAAAAACTTTTAGTCAAGAAATGGCTAATAAATAGCATCTCTTCCCATAAATTCTTACATTTGAACCGGTAACCCTTCCAGGGCCACTCACCATGCACCTTCAGCTGCTACTGGAAGTTGTTCCACCTGAAAAGACTGAGTGACAGATATCACACTGGAGGAGGACAGACACAGATGTAATAATAACCAGCAACAGACAACAGACTGATTCATGGAGGTGTGGATAAAGGATTCTCAAGGGGAACATGGCTGCAAATGGATAAATTTTTTTTTTTTTCTATTTCTAATGCCTGACCATCCATTGTTTGACAGGTATTACAAGTCTTTCCCAGGTCACAGCGATATGATTTTACTTTTTTATTTTTATTTTTTTTACTAATTGTGTGTTATTATATGCAAGTTTGTTGTACAGAATAGCAATGATATTTTTCCAAGTTTATTGAACTCAAATTTATGAATTGTAAATAATTTTTCCTTGAATGCTAAACAGATATTTTCAAACAATGACTTTAGGACAACCCATTGTATGAATTTACTCAGACTCATAAAATCACAGGAGATTAATAATTGTATTAATGTATATATTTAAGTAGTCTATTATAGAATTCCTTGTAACAGAGAGCAATAGTGGGGTTCTGGAAGTAAAAATCCCATTCATTTTCTCCATAGGAGAATTATTAAAATAATCATGTAGAATTCAGTTGCGGTTGCACTCTATATCTTAGAAATATATTTATCATGACAATGGGAAATTGTGCAAGTGCTTAGATGGGTCTAAAAGAAGACCTGGCGGGCAAAACATGCACAGAACTGCAGTACAAGCAGGGCCGCTGCTGGCCAAATGGGTGCCCTAAGCAGAATTGTATTGTTGTGCCCCCTCCCCAAAATATTATGGAAGTTTGAAAAAAACACCTACTATAGGGGTCAAAACAGAACTTTAATAAAATATAAAAGTAAATAACTAAATTGTAATTAAATTGTATTATTTACAAATTACAATTGTAGCTAGACAGTCGCCTATGGCTATGATTTTATTAATACAGTTGTCTGATTGATTTTATGGTCTCAAGCATTCAGAAATCGCACAAAAGAAAATAAAGCAGCTTTACTTCGATTAAAACCAAGGGTTAGTTTTTGTAAAGGTTGTGATGTCCACATGTTTTTGTTGAAGAAATTATAGAGGCTAGCATTTCTATCGCAAAAAGGTGGCCAAACATTAAAGGGGTCATATGA